CACTGTCAAAGAACTACCAAAAACCACTTTAGCATATCCTTATATAATTTCAAACCAGGATCACACTGGAATAGGAACTGAAATAAACTGCATGGATTGGAAAAGGAAAATAGCAATTTATGTCCCCTTTGTCTTATATTAATTTTTCCACCCAGAATTTGCAAAGTAATGTTTCCTGGATTCTGCAGCTAAAAACCTCTGATTCATTTACAAATGTTTCTCAATCCTCTTCGCAAAATGTATCCTCTAAAATTGCATACGTTTAACCTATTTAGTGGAGAGCTTTTTGATAAACACCAGAAACAAACAAACCAAGCTCTAACAAAGCACTCTGTGACATGCTGAGCAATGTTACATTTTACCTGTATACCTGTGCCAATAAGCAAAGTCATTAGTACTATCTACAATCTAAGCCAGTAAACCATTGATTTTGTACTGCAAGTGAAGATTAAGAAGATATATCCTCTTTCTCCCCACTCTATTAGGAATCAAGTCTTCAGATCAGCACCATGTTTTAGTATGAACACCTGGAAGAATGAGATGGTACCTCTGTTTCAAGTCTAAAGAGATGGATGATCTTAGTAGGTATCATAAAACACACACAGAGAAACTACTTAGAATCTATGTTAGAACTCACGGAATATAACACAAGGTGACTTATTGCCCATAGATAATATACACAAATAAATTTAGATAAGTCATCTCCAGTACCCTACTGCGCATGCTTTAACAGAAACCACACTGTAAAATAAATAAATAAATAAAATAAAATAAAATAAAATAAAAGCCAAAGTGCTTTCTATCAAGAGTTATCATCTACTATCCTTCTTGGATTTTAAATTCATTTTTACTCTGAAATCATGTTTTGTTTTGTTTTCCCCTACAAGATTTTGCTTTGATATATTCTGGATAATCCCCCTCCTCACCCGCAAAATTTGTTTGTATTATTCCGTTATGATTTATTTATTTATTTTAAATGTATGTACATTGTTTAAAAAGCATTTTTTAGAAAAATGAATATTATTAATCTGTTTTAACTGAGCTATTATTCATGTGAAGGAAGGAGAGAACTCTGAACAATGCTTTATTGAATTACAGCAGAGAAAGTGATATGTAGTTCAGATCATACAGCTTTACAGAAATAAATCAACCACTGTTAGAAGTACTAGTTTTAGTCCATTTCTGAGCTCATTTCAAAATACGTGGCATCAGATTATCTTGAGTGTGCTTTTCTAAATATATTGGATTTAAAATGAAGTGACACAGGTAGTTGCCTGGCTGCTGGAGAAAGGAGCTTTTCAGTAGGGATACTCTGATTATGGAATGCACTTCTCAGACATGCTTGTCTGGACACTTACATTGTGGTCTTTTCCATTCCAGCTGAAAATGTTTATTTTCGCAGGCTTTTGAGTTAGACTTTTAAAACCACATTTAGCTATTTTCACAATACTCCACTGCTATTGGTTTAGTCTATTGCTATTGGCCAGTCACTCTCTTTCAGCCCAACCTGCCTCAGGGGGTTGTTGTGGGGAATACAGGAGGCCAGAGCATTAGGTACACTGCCTTGAGTTGTACAAAACAAAAGGTGGAACACTGACCTAGTAATAAACAAACACTCTATGGCTATTTTAACCTGATTTAACTTCTTCTCCTGTGCATTGGGCTGGGATGGTAAATGAGGCCATTCTGTGATGTGTGCACTTGTTATTTATTGCCAGCCTCTATTATGTATTATGCACTGATTATGTCTTTCGTTTTGTTAGATTATTTTGGTTTCGCAACGTATTTATTCCTGTAATATTTTTTCTCTTTTGACACCACACAGAATCACAGATTGTGAGAGGGTGGCTTTATAAATCTTTTAAATACAGAGATAAATAAATGTTAGTTTAACATTATTTGAATGCATTTATTTAGTTTAAATTTTTAACTTTTATTTCAACCACACAAAAAGCCTCATTATGAAGTGATATAGAAATATAATATATGAATGGTTAGGAGATGTATTTCAACAGAACCATCTATATCTGTCACTCTTAACACAGAGTACAAGTCCATACCAAATAAATCAACAATAGCTAACTTGGAATTGCATGACCAGGTAGGAAGAAAAGGAGAAGCCAAGACTTCTTCTTTTTTTTAAGGAGAAGCATTACAATAAAATCTATTCAAGCTTCATTACAGTATGGCATGAGACCTAATGGGTAGTGACAACCCCTTCAGAAAAAAAGTTGGCTTTTGAATATGTGCTAAATAATTAGTTGTGGATTTTGCTTTTGCCTTTTTTAATTAATTAATTTTTTTAAGTTTACAAATGAACATCAGGGTAGTGCTGTTATGGACTAATAGGAATGAGAGGCAAATAGAAGACATAAACTGGAATCATGAAAAGAAACTAAACATAAGAATAAGAGAAACATAAATGGTCAGGAAGAAACATGTAGCATTTAGTTATAAGGACCAAATAAATACATTCAATATTCATGGCAAGTTTTGGGTATTTCTAATAGTTAAATCAAGCAAGATCTAAAGAGTTTGAAAGCTTGCCTTCAGTATTCAGTATCATACTTAGCTGATACCAATGAAGAAAGCTGGATTTTAGAACACGAGTAGGAATGATTGACAAAATGGAGATAGGCTTAAAACCATTTAGTGTATAGTACTTAGCTTCTTTATCTCTCACATAATTAGATTACTGATGAAGTTGGCAGCTGAAATGCTTAACTAAATTAGCTTTACTTATTACTTTCTTCTTCTGTCATATAGCCTGCCTGAATCTAGCATCATTTAGTTATTGTTCATATTATATTTATGTACACAGACCTATATATTAATAAACAGAATGTTCTTCAACATCCTCTAAACCAGGTGGAAAAAAAGAAATATATATTTATCAAATAATCTAATCCCAAAGCCATATCATGAATACGTATCTATGCAATGCAATGCAAAAAAAAAAAAAAAACTTATGCAAAATGATTACCTACAGTAATTTATCAAACTGTATACTGCAATTATTAATATAAAATAACAATTCAGTTCAAACTGTTAATTCTGATTAAACTCAAAAACAATTGTTAAATACAACTCCTCTCTTATATTTGCAGTAACTTGCCTCTAAAGTTCACAGATCAAACTACAAACCAAATATGCAGAAAGTCACAAATCTGAAGTCAGTCAGTTAAAATTAGGTTAAGTGAATGCATTTCAACTTACTAATAAATATAAAATAGCTAGATTATACTTTATATATAGAGTCCAGTTTCAGGACAACCTTTGAAACAATCTAATTCCAGATAAACCATATAAAACAATAATGGGAAAATTAAGTATAACAACATTGGTGGATGCTTTTAAAATAAAATGCCTTTGTTTGAAGTGCATCACAAATGATTATATCTACATACAGTATTCTGCTTTCCATTCTAGGCCCTTGCACAGATGTTTATTTTCTTCTCTCATATTTTGTTACTATGGTTCATTTTGTCGAGGGAATAACTGATTGAAATATTCATGAAGATGAGTGCTGCAGTAAAATTTATTTATTTATTTGAATTTATTAGCTGCCTAACTCCAATTTGTTTGTTTCTTTTTTTAAAGACAAGTTAAAAGACAACAGGAGAACAATTGGGGGGAGGTATAATAAATAAACCTTTTATTTTAAATATAAAATAAAATACTAATAGTTGCCTTAGAAATGATGCAAGGAACCTGGGAGCAGACTGGAGAAAAGCAAACGTTTGGGAAAGAACAGATTGCAAAAAACATTAAGACACTATGTTCCAATGTATACTTTTGGCAAGAGTTGGTTTGTTATAAGGTTCCCAGACACAAAATAGATGCTGTGTTCACTAAGCATGAAGCCCTGCAAGGCGCAGAGAGCTCAGAGGCTCTTGGTTTTTCTCAAGTCTCATTAGGTCTGCATATTAATGACCTGCAGCAATATAAAGCAGTCCTTGAATGGAATTCCAGGCTCCCCCTCCCCCAGGTGCCTGAACTTCTCATAGCCAAAGGAACAACATAGCACTTGAAAAAGAAAGACTGGAATTCCTCCCCCTTCCCCCATGCCAATGTTTCAGTGTTTCTGGGTAATTGGGGTGTGCTCAGTCCAATGCCTTAGAAGATGCTTTAGGGGAGAGACAGAGAGAATGAGATAAAGGGAGGGAGGGAGTAAGCAAGCAATCATCAACCTGGAAGGCATTTTCATTTTGTAGCAGCAACTCTCTGGAGTTTTTACAAACTGGAAAAGGCACAGATTTATTACTACCACGGCTAGATCCCAGGACCTCTGTTGATTACAATCTAGTGACAGGGGCCTTTAACACCTGCTAAACTGCAGGATGCTTTGTGGTGAAGCAAATGATGCTAAAAGAATCAGCATTCCTCTTAAGTATACAGATGCAAAGTGAAAATACTGCCAGATTTTCCTTGAACAAGAGTCAAATTTTCTTCAAGCCAAATATTACAATACTTACTACTTTAAAAATACTAAATATTCAAGAACTTTCGAATTCCCAAGTGAAAATAAACTACTGCTCTGCACCACTATATATTGCAATCTAGCTGTCATTCAATCACAATTCTTCCTTGTTCAACTCCCTATGGACCCATCACTTGTGCATAACTTTACTAAGCTGATCTGAGAATTGCTAGTAAAAACTGCTTTGAAAACATTCCAATACCTTTTCAGGATTTTTGAATCCCACCAAAATGTATCAGCATTTTTGTATCTTAACATGCAAAGCACACAATTACTATTTCAAAATTTTATACCTTGCAAAAGTCATCCAGCACTTAAAAAACAGTAATAATAATCTTCCTACCTGTGTATTACAAACTGAATTATCTATTTGTTCCATCCAGTCAGGTGTATATTAGCATAAAATTATAAACACTCTGCATCAAATTACTTATCAGCCATTATTAATTTACTTATCTATAACTGCCCTTGATGGTCTTATTAAAAGATAAAATATTTAGAGTCCCCCCATCAGACTTACCAGTGGATTGACCTCGATTAGTGGCATCATGATCGCTGTCTCCTTGTTCACTGTCTCCATGACCACTGTCCTTAGAGCTTACTATGTCTGCTTCCTGGAATGCAGAACTAGAAATATAAAAAAGGGGGAACTTAATATTTGAATCACCAGGAAAAGGGAAACTCATAAAACATTCTTCTGCCATCATATGGCGACATGAGGTGCTGCACTCAGCTAGATGGTCTTTGCTGCACTGTTTCAACTAAGCAGTTATTTCCACCAAAAGCAAAACTAATACTTTCAGGCATTAGTAACCAAACCTGAACAGACAGTGCTCATTATTACCACCATGTGTATTCGGTATAATTGTGCTAAACAATTTTGTTGAATAGTCAAGCAACTAAATTTGGACAGATACTGTCCTACAATACATTCTCTTAAGTTTTTGAAACCTCTTTCAAACCAGTACAAAATTTCTCTCTCTTTTCAAGAAATTTCAGTGAGATTCACCAAATTCCATAAATTCCATTCAGAGATGTTCATTCACTGCACATATATTCACACCTGAATAAATGTATTTTTATATTGTTCAGCTATTATTTAACATAAAACATTTCTGTATCTTCCTTCATATTTGAGAAACACACATCAGGCTGTGCAAAATTGTGAGCCTAATTTAGGAAATCAGGAATGAGATGGTCCTACCTGTTTACGCGCCGAGGTCTGTCAACTAGATAACTGAGCTCTGTGCGCTGATGTTTTGTCTAAAAAAATAATTAGGAAAAAAATGAACTAATGTGTGGGGCATTTTTTTAGGGAATCTGTGCATCTTTAGTTATAATAACAGACAAATATACTTGCAATTAATCATCAAAATAACAAATACTGCTAATATCTCATCTGTTTTTCGCCCCCCTCTCTTAACTTGCACAAGGAAGGTTTACACATTTATCTCTAAAGGACAATTAACAACGATTATTTATCTAATATAAAATCCACAATCGTTACTCAAACTAACCAACAACATGAGTGTGAATGGGAAAAAAAAAAAGTCAAGTGACATTTAACTAAACACCACTGTGTAGTTCAAGGCAAACTAGGACCAAAATAATAATAATACATTTTTCAAAAAAAAGATGCATAGCCACCAAATTGATAGATGCCTTTATTCCGGAGGAAAAAAAAAATAAAGCCATGTATTTAAAAAATAATAATTAAAAACTCTCCTCTGGTTACCATCCTGTGGACATTTACCTGAGATTAAGTCCTAATAAGTAGGAGGCTTTACTTATCAGTAAGTATATCCAGAACTGCACTGGAAATAGCTTCAGTACCCAAAGCAGTTCCATTTTTCCAGCAATATATACAGAGAAGGTATAACAAAGTTATTTTCTATCACTCACAGGTTAAAAAGTTAAATCCAGATGATAGGATATGCGAACATTATTTTAATGTCTAGCTTAATACAAAACTTGCATAAGTGCTAACAAATGCTTTCAGTTGCATTATTTCAAGATGCCTCTTTTGCGGGGGATACGTCTCCATATCCTCAATCACAAATGGAGGCATTTCTAAAGATTTTTTTGTTTCCCTTGTAAAATGTTATTGCATTGAATAAAAAGAGAAATATCTTCAGACTTGCTATATGCTCCTGGAGAAGCAATAAAAATAACCAGACAATTAACCACAACCTGCTGTATACAAAATAATGCTAAACACTGCTAAAGCTACGTTAATTTGATTCTGAAAATGGAACAAGGAAACAGAAACGCTCATAGTATGGGTTACAAACTGCAGCAATATTTAAGTTGAAAAGAAAGTGGTAAAGATGGTGCAGAAGAAAGCTGCACTGCAGATTGATTTTTATGATTGTATGACAATGTCTTCTAAAAAGAGAATATGCTGTTGGCGAGTTGGCATAAATCAGGTACCTATTCATCTGCAACTACTTGTTGCAATTGTAATGGTAGTCCAAAATCTATCAAGGAAGGCTGAACAATAAGCTCATAATAACGATTAGTAGTGGGGAATTAGAGTAGAAAGTAGAGAATTGTAAACATTTGTGGAAAGAAAACCATCAGAAAAAAATGTACTAAGTTTATACTAATTCTAGAATTGTCACAATGCTACCAGTACTAATACTACTACTTAAGGCTACCATATTTTGACTGGAAAAATCTGGACAACCATAAAGTGGCAACAAAGAATTTTTGTTTTCCTTCCCTGTATATCTTTGTTGCCTTTGTTTACTGATCATGCAAATTTCTGTTATCAATAATAAAAATGTAGGAATATTTGTCAATTGTAATAATGAAAAATTAGTGATGAATCACATAAACTGTGTGAGAGTGAGCAACAGGCAGCCTGGGCAAAAAGGTGTAGACTAGTCCAGTTAGGATGCAATCTGATGTAGACAGTGGGGATTTCTTCTCAATAAACAGCGGTTAGATTAGGTCATGGATTAACTGTAACTGGTGGCATTGAGAGGGAAATTAGGGAGAACACAGAGACCTATACTTGGGAGCGAGTGGATGTCCCTGAGATGTGGAGAGGTTACCCCCTTACCTCACTAGACAATATACTGCCATTAGAGATGATGTCGGGCTGCTGGTCGGTGTATCCTGTGACGATGGCCCCACAAGGGTTGTGCTCTGCCTCTGTATTGCGGGAAGGACTGCAAGGCTTGAGGAACATCAAGTCGGTCTTGGCAGACTCGGGCGTGAGGCAAACCTGATAGCAATAGTTCTGGTTGTGGTGGTGGGAACTAAAGCTTGCAGACTCCTCGACGGGCACCTGGACTGGGTTGCTGGGTACATTGGAGCTCTGGACAAGCATGATATCCGACTTGCTGAGCTTCTTCTTACGGGCTCGCGCCTGGCGGCTGCAGCAGGAACAGCAACAACAGCAACTCAGGCAGCAATCGCTGGCCAAGCACGTGTAGATGTTGAGTTTCTTCTCCTTCTGGCAGCGGACGGCCAGCACAATCATAGCTAGCAGAAAGATGAAAGAGACTGACCCCAAGGCGATAATGAGGATGAGTGTCAGGTCCAGCGAGGTCTCGGCGCTGCTGGCTCCGCCCGAGCGGCTGGGCCGATGCTCTCCACCCGGGCCTCCTGCGCCGCCAGGGCCTAGCCCCCCGGCACCCCCTACTCCCCCGCCGCCGCCTGCGCCCGCCCCTTGGCGCTCCACTGCGCTGTCCACCAAGACCACGTGGAGGGCGGCGGTGGAAGAAAGCGGGGGCTGGCCGTGGTCACGGACCTCGATGACCAGCTCGTAGGGCCGCTGCGGGTCTCGCTTGGCGGGCACTTTGCGCGCCGTGCGCAACTCGCCGGTGCGCCAGTCCATGCGGAAGAGGCTCGCCTCGTTGCCCCTGGCAATGCTGTAGGTGAGGCGCGCGTTCTCGCCGTCGTCCGCGTCCACGGC